CTCCTTTGATCTTATCATTGCAACCATATGCCATTGCAGTACCTAATTCCCTTATCCAGAATTTTTTTCTATCTTTTCGTAAAGGAGTACTTAGTATAGGGCTATTGGTTTGGTGATAAATTGTCTCGATGATGCGAGGGATCCAAAGGAATATTAAAACTGATAAGTCGAAAACGAGATGAAAATGTCAATGCAAAATATGTAAAAAGACCAAAAGAAAAAAAATCAGTTAACACAAAACAACATTTAAAACTAACAACTGAGCAACAAACCCCACAAAAACACGGGGGTGAGCTCAGGTGCTCCGGAAGGGTAAGTATATTCTGTTCTACATGTGGCACCCGTTATGTTGCTCATGTAAGTACAAACCCTGTGATATATAATTATAAACTCTTAAATTTCTCAGACAGTCAACAGACGTTTCAATATATAGACCATAGTGTTTCAAAGTTTGCTTTATTTGGTAAAAAAAAGGCAACAGTCGTATACAGCTGTTCAATAGTCATAAATCTATTAAGCGAAAAGAAATCCGTGTTACAAACTAAAACCGAGGGAAACACATCAACTATCAGAGGAAAACAACGGAACAACAGAAACACTGAACTGCAACAAAAACAAACGCCAACATACATAGAAACGGACTATTTGAAGACAATTGCTATATTTCTGACTTGATACAGGATATTTTAAGAACAAATGGTGGGTTGAACCTGGTTTTATGGCTAGCCAAACCTCCCGCTTATATGGCAATGTTAAAGATACCGCTAACATGACAACATTACGTGACAGGAATACAGTACAAAAAAACGCAAGAACACTCAGAAAAATACACAAATAAATAATATAATAGTACATTACAACATGTAAACAACAGAATAACAACGGACATCTCCCATGAATTTACGACAGTATACCAGGACACCACAAACGAAGTAAAACCGTTCGGAATATTGGTTCCCTTAAGAATCTTCAACTTCATACTTAATTTGACCTTTTCAACTTTTTAGATTCGAGCGTCACTGATGAGTCTTTTGTAGAAGAAACGCGCGTTTGGCGTTTAATATTTTTATCCTTGTATATATCATGAGTTTGTTTATAGTTACCGTACGAAAATATTTCGAAGCGATTTTTTGAGACATAAAATTGCAAGTTTTACAATATATTGCATTTTGCTCGCTAAACGTCGAATGGTCAATATTTCATTGATTTCAAGGACAAGACAAAATTAACAAGTAGTGCAGTTGTTGATTTTGCAACATAGGTGGACTAAGATGAAAGTTAGTCTGCAACTAGAAGATGAAGGTTTGTGGGATAGTGGCTTGAATGATGCCTTGATAAAAGTCACATAAAACGTCTAATTGCGTCCAGATGTAGCTACATATTTATACATTCCACACAATCAACGTCCAATGGCAAGTTTTTCATGACTATTCAGTACCAGAACATCAAATTTACAATTAATACTAGATAAAGGTTATGCAAGGAAGGTCGAATTGGAAGTTTTCTTTCACGCGTAGATCGGATGGTACTCACCCTCAAAAGAAGCATCAGAATTAAGGTACCCATTTTACAAGTTGTTATACTACTTGACGAGAGAGGTCTAGAGGGAAACTATATTTTATTACCACATCAATCGTTCGGTTTACAGTATTGAAGCTATAAATTTCAACTTTATGTCATAGACTACTCACCGAGATCAATGGATTTAATATTTTTTTATCGTAAGCACGAATACTTGTAATATATCACCTTGATCAAGTCCTTTTGATTTTAAATTGAATACCTTGGAATGTGATAAAAAAGCATAAAACAGATGTGTACATTATCAAATATTACTTGTAATTTTGTACAATTCATGCACATTGTTTTACACAAAATTGTAAACCAATTTCAAAACTACCAATTTCAAATCTATAGACAAAAGTTTAGCTTTATATTATTAATAAATTAAAAATACTTCTAAACCGAATTTAATTTGTGTCAGCAAACTATAATTTATACATATCTTAAATTATCTTTATTAAATCTCCATAAACCAAAACTACAAAAGTTAGTATGGTTCATATTATGCTGATTAAGTAAACATATGTATACTTTATTTAATCTACTAGTACAAGTTTTAGAAGGTGATATACAATAAACAAGGCGTATTTTGAAACTTGTTCCCTTAAACACAGCAATGAAAAATCAATTAAGTTTCAGGTCATCGGTTTCATTAGGGACATGTTTCTACTATAGGGCAATTATCACAATAATCTTTTTCTAAACTGAAGCAAAGACTGCTTGGGCATGCATTGACGTATGGTACTTTCCCTACACAAGTCACAAATCTGTGACAGGTTGAACGGTGATGATATCTGTTACCTATGGTTCCGTTATAGTTCTGGTAACAAAAGTCTCCTGAAATTATAGTTATAAAATATTAACATGATCAAAAGATCATCAGATGTTTAATATAAATTGAAAAGTAGACAGACATTCTGTATGATTTTTACATTTTGAAAGTATTTCCAGTAAAAGATTCAGGGAACGTTTATAAGAAAAAAAATATTGAGACTTCGTTCACCTCAGTATAAGTGTTTAAATTGGTTTTTGTTAATGTAGATACAGGTTAATATATAATATAAGGAATGTATGCATTTCCTCGGAATTTAAGTATATTCAAACTCGAACCAATATATACTCACAAATAAATCCACTTGTCTTGTTATTTCATTTCACCCCCAACAACCTCCCATTCTTAATATTTCTTTCACGTGGTGTTTGTGTAACTTGACTTCAAGTTGTCATGTTGTTTGTATATCGTAGTATTCTAACAAACAAGGTTAAAACAAAATGTAAAAAATTAACCACCAGAAGCGTTTTAGACCCATCAAAATACAAGATGGGTGATAGACTCTGTAAAAAATTATGATGTTTTAATGTATGAAACTTTTTTCTTATACTCACTTTAAAATATCTAAAGCAATTGTATAGTGCCGGTAAGGCTGTTGATCATCTGAAAGTCTCGAAAGCCCTTACGTTTATCCAAGTAGCATTGTTTGCTTGTTTGGTTTTATTTTGTTGCAAAACACAACCTATTAAATATTAATTTATTCTTACCGGAAACCAGGTAAAGCGTTTCAGGATTAGAATATGCCGGCGAATCATCCGGATTAAGGTCGTTGGTCACTTTACATCTAATTGTTGCATTGTACATTGCCGTAGTAAAACCAATCCAAAACTTAAGGACTCTTGTAATTCCACAATTTACTGTTGTGTCTGTTTTAGTTGTATAACTAGGGAATATTGTTTGATAATTATCGTCTCCTGTCAACCGTATTTCAACCTCTATGTTCTCTGGTGGATTGCCAACATTACCAGTACAAGTATGGAGATTTGAAGTTCTTGGAGAAGTTAGACCAACTATTTGATCAGCGTGTACTGTTATATTAACTGTTTTCTGATGTAAAAGGAATATAATAGTTTTTCTCAGAATGTGAAATACTATGAACGGAACAGTGTATTTGTTAACTTCTATGTCAGTTTGACTCTGGTGGAGAGTCGTCTCATTGGAAATTCATTCCACATCTTCGTATTTTCATATTCCTTACTTAACGGTTACGTTTCAATGTGAATAAAACTATAAAAAAAAAATAAATAACATCTATTTAATGGATAAAACTAATGTGGATTTTTATAATTAAAATAGAATGATAATGATGAATGAAAACAAATCCATTTTAGTGACGAACGTAACTAAAAGATAAAAAAACCTGTATTGTGAGAACTATGTTTTGCATTTTAACAGCTATTGTATATATAAAAACTAACTTGTGACATTGATTAAATAAAGTTTATCATAGACAACAGAAATTGGGCGGAAAATGAGACTTGTTTACTTGAAAACAACAATAATTTTATTACCCGAAAAATTGAACATAAATTGATAATTGTTCATTTCGTCTTGGGTTTAATTGCTTTATGTTTTTGGAATTTTGTACTATGATCAAATACTTTAATTTGATGGGAGTTACTGACTTTTACTCTGTATACCCGTTTTAAAATGTGTAATTTGGACACCTGGTTTTTTAACTGCCAAAGAAGCTACAATTCTTTATTGGCATATTACCTTTTGAAGGATTATCACATTCGCACAGGAGTCATCTAAAAAAGTAGAAAACGGGAAGATGAAAATTATGCATAATCCTATTTCTAATGATGTATAATAACGAAACATTTGAGAAAAAACACTGTTTTATAGATTTTTATTAGCGAACACAAGTATGATATTAACATTCGATGTAATTCAGTTACTTCATATTGTATTTAGTGTTATTGGTACATTCGATTACTTGGTCTTTCTCTGCCTAAGATTTCAGATGCATTTATATGTTTGGTATATTAGTGTAGTATGCATTACACGTTAAAAATCTTTTACCATACGTGGATTTATATTAATCATAGAAACAAATATATATTCCTGCGAGGAATATTATTAAGTCAAATACCTTATTTTTCTTTCTATAAGACAACAGATATAAAACAGTAAAGACGCTGAACAATAATTCAATTGGGTTTCAACCAATAAATTAAAAAGCATTACGGAAATATTCAAGATTTCACTTTGTGTAGTTGGATACCTGATTTTGCATCTGTCTTAAACATATGATTGTATAGCTACAAAGTTTTCAAACTATATGTTATTTATTCGGCTATTTAGTTACCTTATAAAAAACTCGTTCGTGTATTATACCTTCTGTCTATTTTCATTTCCCTGTGATGGTTCGATATTTTTCGGAATTCTGTTTTTAAGAATTTGTTAATCATTTCAAACGTAAGGGTAGTTTTGTATTTTATTCCCATGAAATACTTACATGTAAGTGTATCTTAAAAACAATCTGCAAAATAAATATGCGCATTAAAGTAACGTAAGAAACCAACTGAACGGGGTCTAGCAAGATGTGATGCTTCTGTATTCTTTAACACTTATATATTCTTTTAAGCAGACACTTTCTTACTTGTTGCTGGACATGTAACATCATTGCAAGGACTGCACGTTTCTACTGTATATATACCAAAACAATAGTTGTACTGACAGGCCCGACCATAAGGTACTTTATTCTGGCACTCAATATAATAATGACAGTTGGTAGGATGTACACGGTAGCTTTGTGATACAGTGTTATCCTTACACGCATCACCTGAAAGAAATTTATTGTCCTAAACATGCATAAAAACACTATTATATTATACTATTAAATAGCGAATTCCTAAAAATATAACTAGCTACTTAAAACATTACGTAACGATTTGTTTTTCTTAATCAAAGAAGGATAATTCGAATTAGAAAATAAACCCTCAGCATTCTAACTTCACTGTTTCATTTTCGTCCACTTAAACTAAACGGTGCAAGAACGATAACTTTGTAAATAAGAACGGTTAAAAGTCTGATTTATTCTTCGCTGATACTTTTCATTTGTTAGATAAAATAAATCAAGTACACTTAGCAGAAACGTCATTAACTGACAAGACTGCATCTTCATAAAAGTTGGTTGATGTATAATTTCGAGTACTTAGATAGTTTTAATTTTTTTTACAATATTATTTAACCGAAAGACTGAGAATTATTTCAAAAAGGTTTAAATAGTTGGTAGTTTCTGTATTAACACTGGTATAGATTTTTGACTATCTGTATTGACCTTGGATCCTTCAAGATCTGGTAAAATACAGTTTACTACGAATCTATCCTATGACCGATACAGAAACAACGAAACATAATATTATATTCCAAGGAAGTATTTGGAAATAAAAATACCAATGTAGTGGACAACACAAAAAAAATGTACATTTTAAATATAGTATTGACCACTTTTTGGCATTTCTGTTATTGCGGGATATAACACCATTTTCATTAAATTATTTATAAATATATTGCTCTAACAATTACTTACAACAACACTGGTTAAATACACAAGAGTGCAAAATATTGCTTTCATCTTGATAATTCACAATGTTTTAGTTATCGAAAAATGGTAAAAATCTGTTAAGTTCTATGAAAATCTTTCTGATAATGTTTTTGTTCTCTAGATTTTGCCTTTTGCTTCAATTAAATTCACCTCAAATTGTATGTATGATGTAGATTGTCGGTAATAGTTTAGATTGCTCCCACCGTTAAAATTTTATTTCATTGAAACTGTTATAGAATTCTAAGAAATTTGCAGTTGACGAAACTTGAAATACGAATGATAATTAGGACCTCCAAATCAAACTCCTATCAATAACCACATTAAACATGCAATCAAGAGAATACAGCGCTAATACACACAGAGAAATACATGTAAGTACATGACAATACGTAGATGAAGATTACTTCCCAATGAGACTATTTTCCTTTAAAAATGTTCGCTACTCTTGTTTTTTGCTTTTTGTCAGATATTTGGAATCCTCTAGTTTATCCATGTAGTACCGATAAAAAATTATGCCAACTAACTCCTATCTTTCATTTTGTAATTTTACATATTGTTTAAAAAGTAATTTTTTAAAATCTTATAAAATCGTTGTTATTTCTTCATAGTTTTTAAAAGGAGATAAGTGCCAATGTTAAAAGTATGAAAAATCTAGAGATAATCATTTCCCGTCAAATTTTCAATTGCTGATATATTAAAAACAAGGACACTGACGCTTCATTTTTTTCTGCTTTTTAAGTTCCGTTATTTATATGCTATCAATTTAGATTAGTCTTTTAAAAACAAAAACATTTTCAATTCATCTGCCCGTATCGTAAACCTAGAAATGTTTGAGAGCTCGTTTGGATGCTGAGTCATTTACACGTATGTGGTTTCTTTAAGGGTACGAAGTTGTTGACAGGTTGTTTGTTTTTATAGTGATTAAGATTATAACACATTATTGGCTGTTGTTCTCAAGTTTATGACACTTTTACCTATTATGTCTGTTTGTTATTCTCACACATTGTTGTCAATGGAATTCTCTGCGACTGTTACACAAGTAAGAGGTTTAGCTAGATATAAAACAAGGCTTAATACACCATTTTCTATATGAAAATATGCCTATACCAAGTCAGGAAAATGACAGTTGTTTTCCATTCGTTTGGTGTGTTTGAGCTTTTGATTTTGCCGTTTAATAAGGGAATTTCCGTTATGAATTTTCCTTGGAGTTCGGTATTTTTGTGATTTTACTTTATTTTTTTCAAATTTCTACAAATCTGTAAACCAAAAAGTAAAGTTAAAATTGCTTGTATTATATACAAAAGAAATCTTACCTGGTATAAGTAAAATTGTTTCATTATTTGAATAAAAAGCCGAAGAGTCTGGGAAGAATTTATTCATTACTTTGCATCTGATGATAGCCTTCTCCATATCAGATGTAAATAGTATCCCAAATTCTATTTTTCTATGAAATTCGCATGATGTCTTGTTGTCCTCTGATCGTTCAATTGTTACATCTAATTTTCTGAATTCTAATTCTCCTGACTTCATAATTTCAATGCTTAAATTGCCTGGTGGATAGCCAATGTCGGCTTCGCAACTATGAAGAAACCAACTTCTGTACATTCCAAGATTAGCAATTTGGTCAGGACTTAGTTGTAAAATCGTATTACCAGTAGGCGAACCTTAATGCAAATAAAAAAAATATATTATTTTTTTTACCACAGTCCAAAAGATAACCAAAAAAAAAAAAAAAAAAAAAAATACTTCAGAAAAGATTAGTGTCCATTAAAAATATTTACTTTGAACAAACATATATATTAGTAGAAATGAAAATGACAGGTTAACGTAATATTTTTTTCTTTCTTTCGTGACAGATTCAGACATTCTGGAACACGAATTGTATTCTGAAACGGTCATTTTGATCTGAACAGCTCTTAAAAGACTAAAAATTAATTATTAAGTCATTTACAGTCTTTCAGTCAATTTTAAGACCTTTTCACTGCAGTACGTCCAGCACTGTTCAAACAATTTCCTTGCGGACAATTGGGATCTGTCCAGTCTATGTTCATACAGTTCAGTAGTTGTTATTTACCTGTGCACATCAGCATCACCCAGAATTGTCTAAACAGAGTACTGAACAGTACAGAATTGACCGCAAGTACATTGGCAAAAGAGGACTGAATTTACCGTAGTGGATACATTTAAAATTTTACTGAAAGACTAAACATGACATATATTATTCCGACTTTTCAAATGATGTAATGATCAAAATGACCCTTTAAGTCTAAAATTCATTTATAATTGGAAAATGTCAACCCCTCATCCCTTGAGAAAACGAAGACATATCCATTTTTGGATAATATGGAAAGCAGATTAATAAAAGCGTACCAATTAAGACATCATGAGGTGACTGTGCTGCTTTTCCCGACTTAAATCCTAATTATGAAAGTTCGGAGCCTTTCATTATCCATGTCCAAAGATTGTAGTGAATAAATATACTTTAAAAAAGGGACGAAATTACCAAAGGACAAAAAAAAAAAAAAAAAAATCACTCAACACACTTACAGAGAAAAATTAACGAACTGACAAATACCGTTCAACAAAACACAGGTACCTTGGAGGGGTTATATAATAAGACGCATTTCAAAATTCTGATAAGTGAAAACTCGGTTACATTTGGCCCATACTACACAAAAAATACTGAACTAGTACACATTTGTGTTTAGAGGCCAGCTCAAGCCCATCTCTGGGTGCGGGATTTTCTCGCTGTGTTGAAGACCAATTGGTGGCCTTGGGCTATTTTCTGCTCTTTGGTCGGATTGTGTCTCTATGACACATTTACCGTTTCTATTCTCAATTTTATTGTTGTTTTAGATTTATTTTGAACAGCAATTTAATTTTAATACCAGGTTTTGACTGAATAAATTCTAAGTTTTTATTTCCTTATCACAGAGAATGATTGAGAATTGAACACACATGTTGATCAACCGAGGATTAATCGCTTTCAGTGGTGTCACAATCTAGGAAAAGAGGACAGGTTATGGCTATTGTGGTAGTTGTGACAGATATTTTGTAACTTCATCCAAATCATAATGGCGTTTGTAAAACTTTCGATAAGATAACTTCAGCTTTACCATCGAGAACCATTAGTTAAATTGCTTTTATATAAGAATCGTCTATCTAGCAAAGATATCAGTAATAAATATGACATATTATTTGACAACATACAACGTTTACAATGTAACTGTCCTTATAAAGGAAAGAAACGAGACGATGACACCAACCTATAATTTCAAGGCATTTGCTTTTCAAACTTTTACCCACAAGCATCCTTTGTTAAAAATACTATTTTCTATTATATATTTTTTCTTTTATAAAATCAGGTACTTACAGTAAGATTGCGTTGTCGAACTTTGTGCTAGCGATGAGCTTATATCTGAAAGGAAAGGTATAAAGATGTTTGCATGACAAAGGATAATATTCTTTTGAGTATAGTAACTTCATAATCATTCCATGAAAAGTGCAAGAACTCAAGGAAATATGCAGCTGCGCCTAGACCGCATAAAACGCCCTTTTAGTGAATATGGAAATTGTTGCAAGAATATAATGGAATTTTTAGAAGGCATCAAACCAGAAGTCAGTAAAATAGCTTGCATAAGGGGTCCTGAATATTGCATCAAATATGACTGTAAAACGCCCCATTACTCACTAATTCCACGATATCTTTCGTTCACCAATTTCAACAATTATATAAAACTTCCAGTTAATTTATCCCATATAAAAATGTGGTATGAATACTACCGAGACAACTATCTACCAAAGTTCAAATGAAGCGGATATAGGCAACCGTATGACCTTCAACAATGAGAAAAAACATACCGTATAGTCGGCTATAAAAGGCCCCGACATGAAAAATATGAAACAATTCAATTGAGAAAAATTACGGCCTAATTTATAACAAAACAATTTGCGAAAAACAAATGAACGACATGAACCAACGACAACCACTGAACAACAGGTTCCTGACTTGGGACAGGCACATACAGAATGTGGTGGGGTTAAACTTGTTTGCTGGTGCTAAACCCTACCCCTAACCTGGGACAGTGTTGTAATAGTACAACATAAGAACAAACTATTAAAATCAGTTGAAAAGGGCTTAACTTATCAGATCTACACAAAGCAGAAACATTAAACGAAAACACAGAACGGACGTTGCAGCGTATCTATACATCCAACAACAAGCATACTGAAGTAATTGTACAACATGTAAACATTTTACCTAAATCTTACGGTTAAAACTACTTACCAACAAATTTTAAAATCGAAAGGGAGCTTCCTTTCGATACTTCCAACAATAGTATTTAGAATATAGCAAAGTGCTCTCGACCAATGAAAGTGTAGAATTTGGTGTTCCTTAATTGTGAAGAATGAATGTTAATCATGTTCTTAGAAGGGAATTATCCTTTTGTTTTAGCCTATTTACAGTTCAAAACAAAGAATTTCTATAAATGAGTTACACAACTGCCCGAAGCACATTTATTAGGATTATTGCAGAGGGGATTATTGATTGAAGGTTGAATTTTGAAACAAATAAAAAAAAATGAAATAAGTTTGAAGTTTACTTGTGCAGTACAATTGATATCGTTTGTGTTATTATACGAATAATTGTAACTTTCAAATTACAAAAAAAAACTTTTAAGATTAAATAAATTGAAACAACTTTTGAATTTCCCTATAAAAAGCATTTTCATTGAACATTTAAACTCTGACTAGTTTATTAAGTAGTATTTGATGTAAAGAGCTGGAATAAAATTGGCTGTGCAATACAATTTGATTTTGAATTTATTAAATTGAACTGTAAATAAACAAAAAGATAATTCCTCACTAAAATATTACATAATTTACACTCATACTCACAATTAGGAAACTTATACAATGTCTACCATTTCATTGTAACGTTGTGTCATCTAATGTCTAAAACACAAATAATTAAAATTACCCAAAATAAAAGTCAGTCCTACCATCACTAAGACCAATACATAAATGAAATGCCTAAAAGGGAAGTCATCAATTAATTATAAACCTTGCAATGACAATGAAGCAAATTCTTGAATAAAAGCAATCAGGAGATCATTTGAGCCTTGAGCACTTTACAATATTCTAAGTTTGTAAGAGAATGATAATCCCTTTCATCATGATAAATACTCGCTAACGCTCGTACTTAATCATGAAGAAAGAAATTATCATTCTCTTACATATACTAAGTCAAGAAGAAATCAAACCAAGTATTCGCGAGCGCGATATGTGAAAAAAATGCATTAAACCTGACCGTTCTAAATCGCGTAACTTTCAAACGTCAAAACAAACTAATTAAATTTCGAAAGAGAGCTTTTTGCCGTCAATTCTGCTGTTGTGTTAAAGTGTTTAAGAATTCGTTAAAGCAAACTTGAGTTATCGTATTGAGTATTCACATATGGACTGACGGACTAAGATATACTTTAATACGTCATGTCTTCGATGGGTGTTTAAAAGGGAACACCAAATTGTGCCTTATAACTTAGGTTTAACTTACTTTATTGAATAAACTGTTAACAGATTTTAATAATAAAACTAAATAGTTTGGTTCTACATGTAGTTCGTACCTTTTGTTGATGTTATTTCTTCATCTGTAGGTGTTGTAAGAGAAGAATCCGGATTGGTAAATATCTCTGTTGATGCTTTCCCACTGGTTATGGTTACAAACGTACTTGGTTGTGACACTGGCACAGTTGATGTCCTATCCATGATTGTGATCGCTGTCGATGTTTCTGTTGGCGAAGAAGTAGTTTTTTCGTCTGAAATATATAAGAAATATAACATAATATTTTCGTTATTTTGTTAAAAGCTGTTGTGTTGCAACATTCTTTTTTTCTAATTAATATGAAACAGATTTTGTTTTACATGAATTTGTATATTATCATTTTTTATATATGTTTGACCAGAGTTATATAGCTTCAAGATAATAAAAAATGTATATATCGGTCAACTGGTATTTTTGCATAAAATTGACCCAAGGCAAAAGAATATTTTGTTATGTTTGCAAACAAAAAAAGCAAAACATCTGGGTAAAAATCCCAATTCAAGGGCAATAACTCCTACAAGGAGTCGGGGGATGATTTCGGCCATTCTATTTGTTCGTATATCTAGTTTTGATCTAAAAAAAATATCTTCTATAGTATAAACCATTAAATCAATAAAAGTAACTTTTAAGTTGGTAACACTCGTCATTCAAGAACAACGACTCCAAAAAGGAGTCGATTGATGATCTAGGCTATGTTGACATATCTGTAGATGTTATTTTGCTGCTAGTTTTTGCTATGTTTATTTTTCCATATTTACCATACTTCGCAAAAAAAAAATCAAGAAATAGTAAAAACCGTCTTTCAATGGGACATAAATATTTGAGGAGTTGACTGATTATTTCCGCCATGTTGAAGTATTAGTAGATCTTGTCCTTATATAATTGTTAGTTCTTTACAGTTTATCTCTGGTTTCCAAAATCAAAATACCCCAAAAATGAACAAAAACGGCATATAAAGAGTCGTCTGACATTTTGTTGAAAATGGATAGTACATGTAGGTAGAACTTAAATCACCTCTTGATAATTTTTGCTCAATCATTTTCTATATCTACAACGGTTTTTAAGATAATTAACAATTCTTGCATTTTACTCTTATATTGGATTTCATACCTTGACAGCCATGTTTGTTGGGAAGTAAAATCATCGGACACATTTTAAAAAACTATAGACCGCAATGATGATTTGGGCCAAGTTTGGTCTATTTGAACAAGTTATTTCAGAGGACTTGTACAGGTTAATGGACAACACAAGACGCCAAATGATGATTATCGCTCACTTTGACCTTCGAGCTACAGAGCCATATACATATAATGAAAACATATATCTGGTTTAACATGCGAGATGTGAACACTAGAACTTTTCTTTATTGTTGCACATTCAGCAAAAGAGAGTAATAATACAACACTATTTTATAATCCTTAAATATCTTTTTTATCATTCAGAAGAAAAAGTCTCGCATTTTGTTTTTGAATGTTAACATTTTGGTTAGCATAAACTAATTTTAAAAACTAGGATTGAAATTTTGTACGCCAGACGAGCGTTTCTTGTCTATAAAGGCCAAATCAGTGACGCTAGAATAAAAAAAAAGTTAAAAAGGCCACATGAAGTATGAAGTTAAAAAGCACTGAACTGAGACCCATGATTATTTAGAGTTGAAAGCAAAAAAGACGGGTAAGTAAAGATTCTTGTTGCTGCTTTCGTACTAGATTTTGTTTCTACAAATTTACCTGGCACAGATGTTGACGTATCCATTGTTTTAATCGTTGTCTCTGTCACCGAAGAAGTAAGGTTCTCATCTGAAATATAGCATGTACAGATATACCACAAATGATTTTTCGTGAACTTTGTATTTCTTATTTACCTGTTGCGTTGCAACAGACTTGTTTTAATAAAAACGAATCCAATAAACTGATAATATTTTATTTAACATATCTAGAATAGGTTTCTGGAATAGGGACCTTCTTAAAGTTTCTATATATACGTGTTTGATATTTGAAAACAATAATGATAAAAAAGGGAACTCACAATATATATTTCAATACTAGTTAGCGAAATGTATCATACATGTAGCAGTCTTTTTTCACTAAGGTAAGGTTGGTGTTTTGAAAAAACCACTTGCAACCGGGTGTTTTGTTTTTTTTAAACATTTCCAACCGGGTTTCTTTTTTACTGTGGGTGGGGGTCACAAAAGGAAGAATTAGTATTGTATTAACATTTAATGGAATTGAAAAAAAATATAAATAGATGTAGTCACATAAACTGTCAAATATTCTGTTTTGATTTATTTTTTTCAATAATTTATCCCTTTTTTCTCTTCTATCATTCACTATTTTATGCATCTCGGATAGCAGATAGCCTCTGCAGGACTCCCTTCTTCTGCGAATGCATGGCCTGTCGATCCAAATTTCTGTCCTGTTCCTCGATTTAGTGCTGTACTTTTGGCACACAGAACAGTAATTTAAAGTCCTGTTTTTATTTATCTTCGCTTGCGTGCCTTTTCCGTTGTTTCGATGTGGTTTTTTTTCAATTTCAACAATTTCAATACAACTATCCGTTTTAGTTGACTTATTTGGCCAAGAATTTTCCTTCGCACCTTCGTCATCTGCCTCTATCTTCCCCCGATTAATAAAAGAAAACATTGAAATTTGACGATCGGCCATTTTTGTCAATGAAAACAAATCAGCGAGGCGCGATTAGTATTTAAATTTTAACAGTGCAGAACCGAAAAAAATCCGGAATTTGAAAAAAAAGCCGACCACCTTCTAAAATAGAAAAGTGGTCGGCTTTCAAAAGAAGGTGGTCGGCACACCCGGCTTAAAAGAGAGAGGGACGAAAGATACCAGAGGGACAGTCAAACTCATAGATCGAAAATAAACTGACAACACCATGGCCAAAAATAAAAAGACAAACAGACAAATAATAGTACAGATGACACAACATAAAAAACTATAGACTAAGCAACACGAACCTCACCAAATGCCGAATGGAAAACTCTGCCCTGTAGTAGCAATTAAAAAACTAGGTGTCCCTTCTCATGACATTGCACTTTAATAAAGAGATCTTGTGGTTCGTATGACATGTGTGAAATATATTACATCAGAGTTTAGACGTTTCTTTTGTCCGCAAGTTAAGATTAAACTAGAGTGGGTTGAGATCTCAACAAAAAAATTTAACCCCGCCACAGTTATTTCATATAATAGTTAATATAAAATTGAGAACGGAAACGGGGAATGCGTCAAAGAGACAACAACCCGACCAAAGAGCAGAAAACAGCACAAGGCCACCAATGGGTCTTCAACACAGCGAGAAAATCCCGCACCCGGAGGCGGGCTTTAGCTGACCCCTAATAAATAATGTATAGTCTGTTCTTTTCTTGACTCTTTCAGGGCTTGTATTTCCTATCATGATTTGCTTGATAGAGGATTGCTGCTAACATGGAAGCTATTAAACCAAGAGTTCCAAGTGGTGAAGTTGAAATGGTTTCTTCGTAAATGTAATGGACGCCATCCATGTTGGTTGATAAATTGTTAAGACCTTGTTGATAAATATTCCGTATCAACTTCACAAATAATACACGATGGTCTTGAAGTATAGATTCTGCGTACTGATGTTGTTTATCATCTTAATAACGTGTTATAGTATTCTTTTATTTGTCTTTATTAATATTACTTTTACTGTAAAGTCTGTTTTTGTTATATATATTTGACGTGACTCTGAACTTATGTATCCCGCCATACTTTGAACGGCAAAATTATTTTATGTCTACCTGTGCGAATTTCAAACGCGCGTTTTTACACCAGTACTTAAAACCTTCCATCTATTATGGGTGGATTTTACAAAGATAAATAAAATCGTTTAATAAAAAAACAAAATGAGGATGTTAAATTTGATGTATGCCTTTTTGTGTTTCTTCGTTACATTTGTTTGTTTTTATAGTGATTAAGATGATAACACAATGTTGACTGCTGTACCCCTATTTTTGACATTTTTACCTATTGTGTCTGTTTGTTTTGTTCACGCATCGTTGTCAATGTAATGGAATTTGATGCGACTGTCATACAAGTGAGAGGTTTAGCTAGCTATAAAACCAGGTTCCAATCCACCATTTTCTACATTAGAAAATGCCTGTACCAAGTCAGGAATATGACAGTTGTTATCCATTCGTTTGATGTGTTTGAGCTTTTGATTTTGCTATTTGATTAGGGATTTTCCTTTTTGAATTTTCCTCGGAGTTCAGTATTTTTGTGATTTTACTTTTGACCTTTATGGAATATTCGTTTCACAGATGACAACGGATATGCTCCAATTGTCGTAACTACAATTCCGTCCCCTTTTCCCTGAATGTGACCTACCGAATTAGACTTGTACTAACATGAGCAACACGACGGGTGCTACATGTGGAGCAGTATCTGCTTACCTTTCTGGAGCACCTGCGATCACCCCCAGTTTTTGGTAGGTTTCGTGTTGCTCAGTCTTTGGTTTTCTATGCTGTGTACTGTTGTTTGTCTGTTTGTCTTTTTCTTTTTTAGCCATGGCGTTGTCAGTTTATTTTCGACTTGTGAGTTTGAATGTCCCTTTGGTATCCTTCGCCTCTTCTTTCGGATATTATATGGACATTTTGTGTATGGAGTTTACAAACTATTGTATTGTATTGATGCGTTCCTGTCTCATTGATGTATCATCCATAATATCCATGCATTGCTATATTTGTTTCAAATATTTTTGTTTACAGACTATTTCCAAAATGTTATAACATTCGCCCTTATGTTCTTTTTAGTAGTAAAGAAGCTCCCTGTACAGTCAACAATGAAAACATCCATCGAATCATGCTTTTCTTTAAAGGGAAGAAATAATACATGAAATTTTTTTATGAATACAAAATGTATGGAAGCCTAAAATGTGTTAATTTATCAACTTAATGTAAATTGTTGGAGAGACATGTCCTTGTGTGAAATATTTACAACTGGTTTTTAAAAAGAAAAGGAATAATTCAGTACTTTGTATCTGAATACTTAGTATATAAATAAGATATTCCAAAGTATTTACATTTTCAATTTGCAATGTTAACGCTAGCATAACTTATAAGTGTATGTCATTTTAACCAAAACTTTTAAAATTAGTCATGCTTAAGATAATGAAAAATCTTTTTGATACCACTGGATACACACATGTACGTGTGATAATTTGAAATATTACTTACACATGGTTTTGTTTGCGCGGTCCTGGTCAAAGTAGAAACATATGGGCATTTCGAAAGCTGCATTACTTTTTAATTTAAATACGCAATCATGGATTGCCAATTATACTTGTCCCCTTTGTTTCGTAGTGCTTTTGATTGAAATAATAAAGAGGAATTTTAAAAAACATAAGTATCTTTTTGAAATTCAATCATGGTTCAAATAGTAATTTAAATAGTTTTTTTTAAATTATAGATTGCATCGAGTCTGAGAGAATACGTACTTCGAATCAGTATGTTCAAAACAACAAAAGTATGCAACGCTTAATTACCATAATATGAACCAATTTTCAGTTTCACGTTTCAGGAAGAAAAAATTTCACCAGAGCACAATTGAGTTTCGCTTATGATCATGTAAATTAAAAATTAACAAACCTGTACTGATATTTCTGAGAACAAAGAAATAAAATCCCAAGCCAAAGGAAGATAGTAGAATGGCTGTAATCGTAATGAGGACAATTATTTTGCAAGGTGAACACGGTGAATGTTTCGATTCCTTGTTGGTATCTTTCTTATAACTGTTTAATTGTCCTTCTACCTAAAAAAAAAAAAAACAGAACATAACAAAAAAACGCCTGTTTTTAATTTTGATTATACCAAAATATGGAGGACGTACAGCCCTAAGCAGACAAGGAATAAAAATTCTACGCGTCGACTAGAATCACACATGGCATTCACAATCATTGGAACTTGGATTTAAACTTTAAACACACATCAGCATTAAGCAACACAGACTGTTTTTCTTTGAAAATGCACAAATTGCATTGTTTGTATTGACTTTGTTAACAACTTTGATACTGCTCTCTCTGAGTCTTACTATTTACCAAACTGCCAATCGATCCATCGAGAGATGAATCTAATGATACACTCTTGTAATATGCAAGCTGGCAGATTTTTAATTTAAACTAAGAGTAATGTTTCAGCTCTTTTAAATTAAATACTGCTGATACGATATTGCTTGTTTAGTTGATGCCCACTTACATTACGTGCTTTTAAAAATCTCATATATTTAGGGTATTCCAACATGTCTAAACATTTGGTCTTGAGCGCACCTGATCTATATAAATTAAGAATTATATATGGTATGATATGAATACCACTGAGACAATTTACTTCCAGAAACCAAATGACGGATATCAGCATTTATGGTCCTTCAACAATTAGCAAAGCGATAGTAAGCTTTAAGGCCTCGAAATAAAATAAAAACACGTCTCGCCAAATTGTCGTTTGAACTCACATACACTGTAAGGAGTTGAATGAAAAATTTGGAGCATGTTGACTTGAAAATTTATTTGGTCTTGCTACTAAAAGTTATTTCAGTTTCGATTTTTAAATTTATAGCCAAACATGTTAAAACAATAATTATGGGCAATAACCTCATAAGGAGTCGATTCAACACGAGTACTGAAAATTCCTCTCTGCTGCTGATTTTTAAAGTGTCTTCCTATCTATATTGAACTACCATTCAAGAGACATACTTCCTATTAGTATCGACGGGCAGTTTAAGTCAAAATAGACATAATTATTGTAGATCTTTGTATTTTAAAGCTTTTCCCAATCTACAACTGTTTTTAAGATATGAATTCATTTCATTTTACCTGATGTTCGCTTTTAAGCCATGTTGGTGATCCTTCGGATTCATCGAATACAACGTTTGAACTAAATACTCTAACTGAAAGGATGGTGTTGAACAAATTAGGTTGCACAAGACCAGGAAGTTTCTGAGTGGAAGATTTTTGTAAATATTGAATGAAGACAGACAATGGGCACCAAGCATGGAGAATGGCTATTCACTGACCCTTTAAAGAATGCAAGCTATTTTTGTTCAATCACATCAATAATTTCCAATTCAAATTTTCTCAATCAAATATATAGTTTTCAAGTTTAAAGAAACACATGTTAGTCAGTGAACCGGATATACGATAGTGATTATGTATTACAGTGATGCTTAACAGGTAAAATCGATTGTATTGGTTATTTAAATATATGTATGTAAAACTATTGTAAGTTTAAATTCATTTGATTTTTTCCCTGGTCAAGTGAGGCTGTTAAAATACAGGGGCCCCTAAGTATGCGACCTGGGCTACTTAGGTATTTATATATCAGGAAATGATTGAATAAAAATATTTGTTATCGTTAAAAAAAAAAAAAAAAAAAAGAATGCAAGCTAAAATGACACACATGCCAAATATTTGTTTATCACTTACATATACTCTTTGATCAAAACCTTCGATGCCTGTCTGCTCAGTCGTACTTAATATTGTTGGATCTCCTATTTCTGAATATATGCGAATATCATCAATATCATTCAATTCTTCTCTGTTTCTATTGTTATGTCTCCTTTCTCCTTTGTATATGATGTATTTGCTGCCTTGCGAATCGTGAAATTTATCTGATACTTTATCAATGTGCGAACTACTTCTGACGGACCCTTGTACACTGAGGTAATCAGGGTAATCTTGGTTGGAAGACATCCCTTTTCCATATCGATTACAAGGCTGTAAATATGCACCAAGTTGCTGCCGTCTTCCACAAATACCTGGAGGAAGAGGAACCTCGTCATTATATGAACTGTTTTCGAATCCATAAATACTTCCTTTTTCGAAAAATATCTTTCCATATGGGAACTCCATTTGAAGTTAAGTACTGATAAACGTTTATGGTATTAATGCATAATGTTTTAGACTAATAATATGAAATTTGAGATTTGTGTATGATAAAAGGGAAAAAAACCAGGTATATTATATAATAGCTACATACAAAACACTGGATTGAATTGGATAAGAATTAGTATTTTTAATGTAATACAAATTGAATGTAGGACTAAATAATTACCATGGTACATTTTTTTATTGGATGCATATAAATAGAAACATCATCAAAGCGCAACTTAATCCCTTTTCAACTATTCAAAAATAACAGTTCAAGTTTCATCTTTATTTATTGCGCATTTTATTTGTTTCATAAATCTATTTATTTTAAACAGAAAAATGTTAGACTAACTGATCCTGTAAAAACTAAAATGAAAAATCTAAAACAATGAAAACTAAATAAAATAAATGAATGAAACGGAAAATTGCTTCATTTCCCACTTGCAGAAACTTTTAATAGAAAAAGGATATTCAACTAGGTTTCATAGCACACAGCTGTCACTGTAATTACATGCACATTATACGCTTATATTGAAACATGTGGCTTAAAGCGCTTCTGGTTGTTTATCAGTCCCCATATATTTTTCACCTTGAAGCCAGTTTGTCATCATTGCATTGATATAAATCATAGGCGTTAATTCTAAATGTTATAAAGATATTACACTTTATAAACTTGGTGCATACGAAGAGCGTTTCCTGACTATACTTCATACGAAACGCATAGCAATACAATAAAAAAGTTCAGAACAATGGTCCTCAATGATTTCGACTGTGATGTTTGTATCCGTTTACTTTTGATACTGACGTCTTGTGTATTTGATTTCAGAGAGTATTGGTCGCAAGTGTATATTATAATAGCTTTTCGAGAGGAAATGGTTCTGCATACTGGTCACAGTATCATACGTTGTAACTATCATGATTTCCGTGATAGATGGTTGCTAGAAGGAAGGAATTAAACCAAAAATTCCAAGTGGTGAAGTTGAAATTATCCCTTCGAAAATTTTACAGAAGCCATCACGAATTAGTTGACAGTTATGGAGTATCTGTTTCACAGATGACGACGGATATGTTCCTATTATTGTAACTGCAACTCCGTCCTCGTTCTTCGAATGTGACATATCCAATTAGCAGTATCCTTATCAAGGAAATTATGATAGGAAATGGAAGCTCTGGAATATCGTATCAACTAGTAGGTAGATACTCTATATACTGGCGCTGCTGGAATGGTGCTACATAGAAATGGAAAGTCCATAATTGGAAAGCTGAAATTAACCATGTTGTCGCAAAATCTTGTTCTCAACCGATCCTTATTGTAAATTTCTAGATGTAAGTGAAGATATGAGGCGGACTTAACTGTATTTGTTTTATCCTGTATTTCCAGTTCGATGGGATAGATGCGTTTAGCATAGTCACCAGATTTTGAATTATTTTATGCATCACAGGTTTGTACTCACATGAGCAACACGACAGGTGCCACATATGGAGCAGGATCTGCTTACTCTTCCGGATTAAGTAAGATCACTCCGTTTTTTTTTGGGGTATCGTGTTGCTCAGTCTTTATTTTTCTATGTTATGCTTTGTAAACTGTTGTTTGTCGTTTGATCGTTTTTGTTTTAGGTATTGTCAGTTAGTTTTCGACTTTTGAGTTTAAAGGTCCCTTCAGTATATCTCTCCTCTCTTTCACTGTATAAAAACATTGAAATTAACATATTGCTATCATAAATATAGACAATATTTAAATATCTTACTTGTATGTTGCCAGTGGCTCTTTGTGCATTACATCATTAACGGCTAAAATATAGTTCATACCTAAGATAACTCCCCAAATCAGGAGTCAGTATAATAATGGCTGTCGCTTGTTGCTTTATATCATACTAGTATTTGTTTTCCTTTATAGTTTTGTACCTAAATCGGGTCTTTAGCTTTGTCGTTTGAATATTTTTACATATGTCATGTCGGATTCTTTCATTGCTTGTTATGAGGTATCGGTTTTGCACATTGTTAAAGACCGTACGGTGATCTTTAGTTTCTAGTTTTTAAGTCATGTTGGTCTTTAGGGGAGAGCTGTCACATAAGTTATCATACCACACCTCCTTATTTTTTCATATTTTAAGATCTTTTTTTTTGTTATTCTTGTACTACTTTTTCAGTTTCTCTCTATGTACCATAGTCTTTGTTCAAAAGTTCTTAAAATGAGAAGAAACCAACATTTCAGGGCAATAACTTCTATCAGAAAAAGACACATTTGTAGATCTCGTCTTGATGATAATTTTTTTTTTCAGTTTGTCTTTATCTTCTTTAGGTTTTGTTCAACTCATTTAAAACGATACAATCGTCATTTAACAGCAATAAATCATAGTTTAAATCATCTGATAATTTCAGCAACTTGATTTGTAGAACTTGACTTATTCATAATTCTTGCCTTTTACAATTTTGTTTAGAATCTCTATCATATGTCTGTAGTTTTCGTCTAAATGCAAACAATGGGGAAAATAATTACTTCAAGGCAATAACCTGTATAAGGAGTCTACTGACTATTTTAGCTATGTTAAAATGCACAATTTGGTAAAAATAATCATTAAAGGGTGGTAACCTGTATAAGGTGTCGACGGATAATATCGGCAATTTTAATATATTTACAGATCTTGTATTGCTGATTATTTTTGTTGTTTACAGTTTTTCTTTATCTACTATAGCTTTGGTCAAAAAAAAAAAAAAAATTGGTAAAATTGACATTTAGAGGATATAACTCTTATAATGAATTGACCGATGATTTTTATCCTGTTGACAACTTTGAATATATTTTCTTGCTGATATTTTTTGCTATTTAAAGTTTCTCTTTATATAGCACAGTAGTCGAGATAAAAATATAGTTCATAACTAAGATAACTCCCCAAATCAGGAGTCAGTATAATAATGGCTGTCGCTTGTTGCTTTATATAAAAGCAAAAACAGAAAAAAAAAATGGTAAAAGCGGAGTATTCGGAAAATTTCGGCTATGTTGTTGTATTTGTTGACCAGTTTTGCTATTTAAATTTTAAAGTTTCTCTCTATCTATGATAGATTCCAAGATAATGATAATTATTGGAAAAAATCCTGTAAGGAGTCGTCGGACAGTTTTAGTGTTAAAAGACAATCGGTTGATCTCAACAATTTGAACATTTCCGTCCTACATGTATCTATACCGTTTATCAAAATATAAAAAAATGAAAACTTGCATTTGACCACCCATGTTATATTTTTATCCATGTTCGCCATGTCGGTTGGCAAGCGGATTCAAAGTACACATATATAAAACTATATACTCTTATCATCATCAAGGCCAAGTTTGGTCCCAATTGGTCATCAAGTTTTAAAGGAGAACATTTTTATAAAAGTTATTGGACGATAAAAGACGACGGACAACGGACTGCAAGCGATGAGAATAGCTAATAATCTTTAAAAGAGGAGCAGTAGTGGATTGTATTCAATTCAAATTAATGTTTTATTAAAGTCTCATCTCTCAACAAGTACAATCGATATTTATAAATTGTAAAACAATACTAAATAAAATGAGAGCCATTCTATACAGAATTATAAGAGGCTATTAAAATGCATAGATATAATACATTAAACAATATGAAATAAAGTACTATTTACAATATATAAAATTTCTACCGTCTTCTTAAAATCAAATAATAGGTTTTGGCAAACATACGTAACATATTTACATCTGAGAATAAAATCACTAATTTTTGGGTATCATCTAAAGTATTAAAATTTTCATTAAAAGTTTCAGCAACATAATATAAATGGTTTCTAAAATCGTCATAAAGAGGACATCTTAATAAAACATGACTTTTTGTGCTTCGTTTTCAGTAAAACCATCACATATATGGCACACTCTGTTTTCTAAAACAATATTTTTCTATCTCCCAGTTTCAATTCTCTGTGGGCTACACCACATCTAAATTTGGCGAAAGCACTTCTGTGACTGAAAAGCAAAGCTATTTTACAGTATTCATCAATGTGTTACCATAGGTGTTCGATAACAATTTCACCGCAAAACGTACTAGTATGGTGTACCCATTCTGTAATAGTATTCTACAGGGGCAGATAAGGTTTCATATTAATTGAATTATGTAAATCAAGAAAAGAACATTAATTGCTATTCATTTAAGTCGGTTTGACGGGGTAATTTTGTCCAGTACATTTAGATAGTTTTTATAATTCGTTTAGTGCAATATATTGTCAAAGTGACATTTAAATTTTCTAACCAATATAATTTAGACCGACTTTTATTTAATTTGAATAAAACTGTGACATAACAATAGAGAAAAAACTCATGATACAGGTTATATTCTTCTCGTATATTTTTTGATAGTATGATACTAAACCCCTAACTGGAGGGACTGTGCTTGATTTTCATATGATGAAGACATAATCTTTCAATCAGTTTAATTGAGGTCTGGAGCTGGCATGCTAGTAGTCCTTTGTTAATTTATGTTTATCATTGTCATTTTGCTTAATTTCTTCTGTTACCTATTCTAACATCGGACTCGGACTTCTTTTAAACTGAGTTTTACTGTGCGTATTGCTGTGTGTTTGTTTATTCTACATTGGCTTGAGGTATAGGGGGAGGGTTGAGATCTCACAAAACATGTTTAACCCCGCCACATTTTTGCGCCTGGCCTTTGATAGTCTTGCATGTTTTTTTTTTTATTTTGGTTCATTTATATGTTTCGGAGTTTAGTGTGACGTCCATTTTCTCTGAACCAGTATACATTTTTGTTTAGGGGTCAGCTAAAGCCCGCCTCCGGGTGCGGGATTTTCTCGTTGGGTTGAAGACCCATTGGTGGTCTTGAGCGGTATTTTGCTCTTTGGTCGAGTTGTTGTTTCTTTGACACATTCCTCGTTTCCATTCTCAATTTCATATTAAAGGGCCCGTAAGAAAACCTACAATACTAAGTTAAGCTTTACTGCTGAAACGTGCTGGACAAGAGATATCCTTGAGGTAAAACAATATAAAAGTATCGACCCATTTATGGATTATCTACATATCATAAAAAAAAAAAAGAGATGTGGTATGA